AATATAAGCGTTATTTTTGAGGTGCTATTCATGTTGCATTTACTTTTTTACTTCCATCGAAGTTAAACAATGTCAAGCCTTGTCAGTACCTAGATGGGAATACCTTTTGCTCTAAATTTGGATTTTCGGAAGGTGTTATGAATAATGGCACGGAATTGTTAATCAGAGAGTCAAATTCCAATTACCGTTGGGTACGTTATATTCACTTACGCAAAAATATCTTTGGGAAAAGTATGAATCCACCTCTTCTCCCCCACATATGGGTTACTCAGTAAGACGCGTGTCATTAAACTGTTATTATCTGTCTATATCTCTGAGATGAGGTCTTGTAATTATTTACATTATTTAGACTGTTGTCCTCATCTTTATTGCCATATTTACGACGTTTCGGCCGTTGTACGCTCCGCCCTTCTTCCGGTGATTGGAATTTTGAACTGAACACTTTATTTCGTCTACCGGAGTAGATTGTTCTAGTTCCACATGCCATGCCTCTTCCGGATGTATCAGTTATCTCACTTTAGCTGAATTCTCCAAGTTTTTTTTTTTTTTTTTTTTTTTTGGTCACCACTGCAGTAGCCAAGTATTAAACTCACAACTCTTTGGGTCAATTGTCTGGATCCAACCAACGCTTTTATCAACTGGGCCATTTCAGTGGACGAAATAAAGGGTTCAGTTCGAAATTCTAATCAACTGAAGAAAGCTTACAACGGCCTAAACGTCGTGAATATGGAAATAAAGATGAGGACAACAGTCCGAACAATGTAAATAATATAAATAGCTGTTATTATCTTTTTTTTTTTAAAAAGTTCTTACAATCGAAAAATATGTTCTGGTATTAAATAAATTGTAAAGGGATGATAAGCAGGAGAAAACGAATCAATCATATAAAATTAAATTATCTTAAACAATCAAATTAATAACATCAAGCCTAGACTGAGAAGTCATAATAAAGAAAAAAAAAATACGCTTCGGAGAGGAATCAAATTGGCATCTCTTTTTTCAATCATGGAAACCGATACTTTGACTGATATTCTCCGCTCCAATCTGTCCTGGCTGAGAGGTCGGGGTTTTAATTACCTATTTAGGGAAAGTACGTCTTTTTTCTTTCTTTTTATTTATTTATTTACTTTTGACTTCTACGAATCTGCTAGCTTCATTTTCCTATCCGACAACAGTCATTTTTGTAAGGATTTTTAAACTGATATTATTTCTTTATTAGTATAAAACTTATTTTTAGTAGGTACACAGTTTTCAGGTACCCCTATTTTTTTTTTCTTTAACAATGAAATTAACAACTGACTTAATTAGGTAATTCAAAGCATATTTTGTTAAACCAGTGGCCAACCAGGTAGTGGCTCGTTTTGAATTAAGAGGCTGTTTTGCCGATGGAAATCATAAAGAATGGTTCGCTTCTTGCTCGAAACCCATTTTTTTTTCTTTCGAATGTCTTCTGCAGAGTAATTAGTTATTATGGTTGAATTTAATTACCAAATGTATCCAACAAACAGAATTGACAATAAAACGATATTGACTCTGTGCAGAGTAAATCTAAAAAGCGGGATAGGGTGTTATATACCGTACGTATGAACACTAATTGGTATGCCCCAATGTACATAAACACGTTTGACACGATTGTAAGTAGGGGCAACATGCTGTATAGTCCGCCATTAGCAGTGGTTTACCTGTTTCACGCCGCTGCCGAGTATTGTATTTTGTTGATGTTATAAAGATTGTCATTTCATTTCCAACTTCCGGTTTTGGTTATTTCTCATTCTGTCACCTTTTCTAGAATACAACAGTGAGTTATTTTTTTCATTACACGATAAACCGGTGCTTAGACATGGCATTATTTTGGCGGATATGACAGCGAGAAATGTAGCATAAATATCGCCAAATACGACGTTCTATTGGAGGTTAATCAGAAGTAAATTTATCAGAAACAAATTTAATTACTTTTTATATACAACCAGCTTCTTAAAGGGGCCTGTAGATAAAATTAAAAATGTAGAACATCTATATACGTTGCTAATAATACTGAATAAACGGCAAAAATAGCAATATTAATGTTGAATAAACCATAATTACTAAACCAATAAATAATAAAATGATGGCTATAAAATTGTAATATATAAACGATTTTTATAAATGTAGCGAGACTCTTCGCAGATGCGAATTGAGTCACTGTCGGTCACTGGGCGTGTTTCTAAAAATAAATACGCTAAAAATCCACTTCCTTCCCTACCGCGCGCCGACGGCTTAATGGTTAGAATCTCAGACTGATACCAATTCACTCGGGTTTCGATCCTAGCTAGAGGCTACCGGATGTCTAGCCACACTGATGAGCAGCGAAACAGTTTGTCTGTGGATGACGTTATATATTTTCAGCAATGTTTTTAAACTGTCGATTTAACAGGAACATTCACCGTGAAGATTTTTGACATAGGAAAACTCGCCTTAAGAATTTTCGCCGTAGGAAACTTCGCCATATAGGATTTTTGCCGTAAGACAATTCTGCCGCACTTTTTTTTCGTTGCCTTTATCTTAAATGACCTTTTTTGAAGTAATATTCAATTTAATATGTAAAGTACCTTGTTATGAAGTTTATTTTAATTATATAACAAGGTGGTATTTAAATTGTTTAAATGCTTTGGTGTTTGATGAATTGAATATCAATTATACTTTGGATTAAAGATGGTGTAGTGTTACAATGTAAGTTCAAATATAAGAAAGTATATTTCAATATCTAGGTATTTATAGTGAATTTAAAAAGTTTATGTTTGCAAATAATTTGTGTAAGTTTCAAAAGACTGATAGTTTGAAAGGGTTATCTTTCTTTGATCAGCTATTTTATATTGAAGTTTGTTGCGTATTCAAGTTTGTTTGAAATAATATATATTGCTTGAGTGGGAACTACTGGTAGACTGATATTATGTTAACAGGAAGTTTTACGTTAAGTCTGAAATATGAAATTGCGTGACGAAGGTTCTAGTGTCAAGTTGAAATTTTTGTGCTTCTCAACTGACGAGGATGAATGATGTAGGATTTTGATCCTATAACTTCGCTTATTAAAATGTTTAAATCGAAGTAACAATAGTGTGAGCCTGATATACTTGATAACAAGATAATTCGCATATAAAAAAAATGCGGCGAAATTGTCTCCCAGCAAAAATCCTGTACGGCAAAGTTTTCTACGGCGAAAGATTTCTGATGCGAGTTTTCTTACAGCAAAAAAGTTTACGGCAAATGTTCCGAGAACCTTTAACCGCGCTAATGCCGCTCAACAAAAGGACACGCATAGATTTATTACAAGACATCATCTCAGAAATTTAGACAAATTTTTGGTTTTGGCAGTGAAAGAAACATTAATCCAAGCCTTCGAGCATCTTACATTATTGTTTCGTCATCTGGATATTGGTGATAGTATTATATCTGTTTTGTTTCTATTGGTAATGTGGAACGTCACGTGGATACCTCCTAGCGTACGTGTGTTTAATTCCTTAAATGATCGCCTAGCCATACAGTTTCTGTTGCGTAGGGACTGACAAGAAAGTCTGAAGTTAAATTTGATTTATTCTATCTAAAACAGCTAAAACATCTAATTGCCAATAGAAATATCCCCACATCAACTTCAAGTCCAACTTCTCCAAAAGATATAAATCATACAGGAACTCACGTTTCATCCATCAATCACAATGCGCTCTGGCTAGATATGCAAACTCCTTCTCATAAGGCAGTGATGTTTTATTTCGTGAAAACCGGTGCAACACTTTAGCATAGGATCGCGAACAACCATCATATTCTCATTGAAAAACGATATTAAAAGAAGTATCAATATGATTCCCTCATTACCCGTAAAAAAAGAACGATGAAAAGACCTGTAATATTTTTCGTCAGATAGAACTGGACACTGGGGTGGACAGGACTAAAAATAGTTGTGTATAGATTGGCTGAAGATGAGAAGCCACACAGCAGTGTGCCTTGAAGTCGAAACGTCTCTCAGGATTGTAATGACAACCTATCCTAAATATATAGTAAAACCTGGGTAGAATAATACAACGAATGTTTAATTGACTGATTGATTTTTAACAGCTTATGAAACTTTTTCAGGTTACTTAAAGACAATTTTTTGGGGGGGGAGGTAATAATGATTTTCTGATAAAAGTCTTACTATTTAACCCATACATGAGGGGAAAAGAGGTAGATTCATACGTTTCCCAAAACTATTTGCACATAAGTGGTTTTAATTGGTACCTCCACTTTTTCGCGGAAAACCTGCATAGCAGGATGAAAAAAGGCCCGAAACTTAATAAAAACAGTTTTGTCATCATCAAAATGTTTATGTTATTATTAAGAGGAAAGACCAAATTATTTTATTATTATTATCATTATTTTTTTTTTCTGAATCCCTTCTCGCAAGTTCGAAATTTTGGTTAAAAATCTTGTTTTGTTTATGTGATTGGCCGACTAAAGATAAAGGTTTTTTTTTTTCGCTTTTTCCAGTTAAAAGCACACTGACTTTTAAATTCTTGCAAAAATCAAACAATTGTCGGATTTTAATGAAATTTTCAAAACATATTAAGAAATAAATTAAATTATTTTTCAAATTTCTTTTTTAGAAAATCTTTGTATTTTTTTTTTTTTCAATAGTTACCACCCACTTAATTAATTTCATGAAATTTCGAGAAATTCAATGTTTTGGGCGGGGATTTTTATTTTTTTATTAGTTAAAGGCAGAACTCCTTGGAGAAAGTAAATCATCATATTTTTTTTTTTTTTGTAAAACAGTTACCCCACCTTTCATCAAAAATCTGCTCTGAATTGTAAAATAAGAAATGCAATAAAACTGTGACATTATTTAATCAGAAAATATTTTAAAATCTTTGATAAATAAGAATTATTAAAGACACTGTTGTCTTAAGAAGAACTCGACTAGAATTGGAACTTTTCTCTCTGAGTTCTCATTCTGAGTCTTTATTCTTTACGCCATCTGCACATCCAAGCTTACAGCATCTAGTATTCCCCAGTGGTCACCCATCTAGGTACTGAACAGGTTCAACGTTGTTTAACTTCAATGATCGTACTGGAACCAATGTTTCAACGTGATATGGCTGTAACCCACAGATGTTGGAAGCGAAATGTGCAATACTCGGTCACTTTATTTGTAAATGTATAGCTCTTGCATTATTTACATTGCTTATATTATTTGAACTATTATTCTCGTCTTCATTGCCATATTCACAACGTTTCGACCGTTGAACGCTCCGGCCTTCTTCAGGTGATTGGAATTTTAAACCGAAGCCGTTTTTTCGTCCACCGGGGTATATTGTTCTAGTTCCACTTGTCATGTCTCCCAGGGGTATCTCAGTTATTTAACTCAACTCTCCAAGATTTTTTTGGTTCACCACTGCTGTAGCCTGGTATTGAACTCAAAACTCTTTAGGTGAAGTCTAACCAACGTCTTTATCAACTGGGTCATGTCTCCTTGAGAAGCGTACAATGGCCGAAACATTGTGAATATGTCAACGAAGGTGAGGATAACAAACAGAATAATGTAAATAATGTAAATAATCATAATACCCCATCTTAGAGGCTCTTGGATTTTTAGTAAGATATTTTTTCTACTGTAAGCTTTAATCTGTACAAGGAGCCACTCAAGGTAGAGGGTTACGTTAAAGGGTAATTTATCGGGAAAACATCCTCGTGGGAGCTTGTTCCACAGGGTAGTCGTTCGCGGGAAGAAGCTGTTTATGTGGAAATTACTTCTCACCGGTGTAATACGGAGGGACTGCAGGTGGTTTTTTACAATAAAAGTGGCATGGTGGGCCTTAACCGTGAAGGATAGACCTTGTGGAACCAATGAATGTAGTTCATCCGGGCACTTTCCATGGAAGTAGCGATAGAGCAGTGAGAGACTCGCTACATCCCACATGTGAGAAAGAGAGAGGTTGAGAGTGGAAAATAATTATCCTCCCACAAGAACTCGCAGACGCTTTTGAACTTTATCAAGATTAGAAAGCCCCGCCCAAATATAGCAATAGAACTCCATTTGAATATGTCTGTTGGCAAATTATTGTCGGCTAATATATTTCTTTTACTTATTTTCTACTAATGTTTTGTGTAGCGTTTTTATTAAGGTAACATTTTTAAAATCCAAATTATGGCCTGACGATGTGGGTTTCAGGAATTTACGTCTTTTTTTTCATATCCTGAATTGTAGATCTTGGTATTTTTTTATATCTTGACTATACAGGGTGATCTAAAAGTAGGTGGACTGTATGTTGAATATGTTTATGTATCAGTTATATTATTACAACTGAGTATCTTGATAAAACATTTCCTGGGAAAGGGGATTGGCCGAAGAGATCCAATTGATTGGCCGAAGAGGTCCAGTTGATTGGCCGTCAAGTTCACCAAACTTGACCCCACTGGATTTCTTCTTTTGGGGAGTACTCAAGGACAAAGTTTAGAGTCGAAAACCAAGAAGTGTCGGTGATTTGAAAAATTACATAAGAGATGCATTTCAAGAAATTAGTCCCCAAATAGATTTGTGCAGAAAAGTTTGTTGAAGCGTTAGAGATAGACTAAAAAGCACTGATCATTGAATCTCACACACTTTTTCTCACATATTTGGTCCATGGTATTCTCAGCATCTTTCTGTAGAACCACATTTATGTTGCCTTGACTTTCTTCTTCATCTGTGAGGAGATTGCCAATGCATTCACTGCCATATCGGAGGACTGATATTACATAACATTTCAGTATTCTCTTCTGTGTTTCTAAGAAAATTTTCAGGTTTCTTAATACTTTGCTTAGCTTTTGGAAGGCATCTTTCTCTGTCACAACGAGCTTTTGTGTTTCATTGTCGCACTTTCCGCCCACTGTTAAACACTTCATAGATTTTTTAAATTATTTTAACGCATATGATTTAAAAACTTAAATACAACCCCGAACCATTGCGATTCAAAACATATGAGGGAACTGAATATATAGCGAGACATGCCAAATTTATAAAGACTTCGTATTTACTTCTTATTCAATCATTATTGTTCTGGTGTTCTTGGCAAAACTACGCTGCTCCTATCCTATATCCGGTCTGATTCTCTTTTTAATATATTATATATATATATATATATATATATATATATATATATATATATATATATATTTATTTAAACTCATTTCAAAGTAAGTATAGACACGTTCCAGAATAAAAGAGAAATTCTCTCACATTATCAATGATAAAAAAAAAATAGAATAGAAATATAGACCTCCAACTTTGAAATTATTTCGATCAACAGGATAAGCAGGTCTGTTTAATTGCGCGAAACAAAATAAAACATCGTCAAGCAACTGAACCAAGTCATAAAAATCGGCTCAAACCGGGGTGGGGGTGGTGTTTAATCGATTCGATAGATTTAAATTTTGCAATGAGGTCTGTTCGGAGAGTATCCATCCATTTTGAATAGTTTTAATACCATTTGCGGGAATTTTATGCAATTATGGCCACTTACTATAAGGAATACTACTGCGTACTTTTTTTCTTATTAAGGAGAGTTTTGTAAGGGCTAAATAAAAGAGTGCTCTTCGTAAGGACCGCACAAAATAGCGGTGATGGACTGGCCAGCGTGTCAGTTTGGGCGATTTATTTATCAAATAAAAATGCAACAAAAACTGTTTTAGCAATAAAAGGAATAAATCATATAAATTCATCTTCACACTATTGGTTGCTCAATTCCAATGTTAGAGGACATTTTCAAAGCTAAAGGTCATAAAGTCAAGAGAAATTCGCAGTTTGAGGAGAATTTGGAAATAGACATGTTGTTATCCAAAGAAAAGGAAATAGACAATGTTGTTATCCAAAGAAAAGAAAATAGACATGTTGTTATCCAAAGAAGTTAGACGGAAGCAATTTTTGGCAGTGGACATAAACGATTGCTCTTAATAAATGATTGCTCTTAATATAATAATTTCTTTATAAGAAAAGCCAATTTCTTATCCCAGATTGCGTGAGAATACACTCTCAAATGAGGTAACAGAGTTGGCACAAGGCCGTCTGTGAGAGTGCTTGTGTTGTGTTACTTCCGTTATTAATGAGGGGTTAATTTTTATACCCCCTATCTCGGGTGTTTTACAAATCATTGTATCATTCACGTTTGTACTTGACCTCAACCACTACAGATCAGATTTGAGTTTTCTTCAGCTCCGTGTCTTTTACGAGATTAAAATCATGAGATTTATAACCTGAGATCATAAAAATGAGATCTGAGCAGTGGATGGCGATTGGGAAAGGAGAAGAGACACTGGATTATTGTTTGAGTAGAATGGGGAGTAAATTGAAGAGAAATAAGACGCAATTGCTCTAGGTAGGCTAATCTTTTCGTTAATAAGAAATAGTTAAAAAAAACTGCTTGACTTTAGGACATTGTTAATCCTTATTGGCTTAATGCCAAATTTTGTTTGGAGCATCCCTTTAATATCAAATTGTCTAGATACAGTCCATCTGAAGTTATTATGAAAATTAATTAAACATCAATAATTCAAATTTGCTTTGAAAAAATTTTGCCAAATTTCAAAAAAATAATTTTGATATTAAAACAAAGCTTGAGTTAAAAGTTTAGGTATTTGGAACATGGTTTACTAATTCTACAATTTGTCCCCATTTTTCTCCCTATATTAGTGGTACATTGCTTTATTATAAAACTTTTGCCTTTGATATATCCTGTGAGGGACAAATTCTCCAAACCGCCCTTCCTAATTATACGTTGAATACTCTTTTAATCTCACAAAAGAAACTTAACATTTTTCGCTACGATTAGGCACGATTATATATAAAATATGAATACAGTGCTAATGATTTTACTATATAAATGCAATGAAGTCAGTAAGAAAAGGGATTGTCGGAGGTCAGGAATTAATGCAAACGTTACTACAGAATTTACGAACCACAGCTTTGTGGAACAGACTCACTGTAAACATAACCTTTGTCTTAACGACATATCCGCCTAAACTGGGCCTCTTCTATTTTGAGTAGCTCAGAGACCTTGTACGGAATGAACATTATTATAAAAAACAATTATATATATATATATATATATATATATATATAATTCAATTATACATTGAAGACCATATTAATGTCGCCAAAATTAACATTTTCGCTACTTTGCTTGGTTTTTCACGTAACGTCCCCAAATTGTAATTTTATGCCTTGTCCCCATTTTGTTCTCTGTACATTTGACGAATATCTGCTTTATATTGATATTAATAGTCTTTGTAGAATTTTCAATATTTTATTAATGGCCGACATACTTTAAACTTTTCAGAAAATCTTCACCTTTTCAGGTCTAGAGTTAACAATTCTTTTAACCACTTATCCGTATAAACTAGTCCTCTTTCTCTGTAACATTCTACCTGGAGTGGCTCTTGGACTTTGTACAGAATGAACATCATTGCCAAAAAAAAAAACAGTTATGTATATATAGCTAATTCAATTATTTGCTATAATCGAAAAGATTTCTGTTAATACGTTTTGAATAGATGATTGGCTGATTTTACGATATGCTAACATTTGCAGGGTTATTCAATGTCAGATTTGTGTTTGGGTCACTGTGAAGATCGAACTCTCTACTCAATATTCATGGCCAATTAAACTGGCCTTATTTTTCCCTTGTTTTTATTTAAAAATGTTAAGTTTAAAACTGATTTCCTCATTGATAACCGCATACGACTGATGTAGTCGTTATTCCAATTGAGGGATTTTAAAAGAATGTTTTTAAAATAAACTATTGTGAAACAGGCTTACGTATATTCCTGTCGGCTTAGGCTTTATTACAGGACACATAGGCAGATAATAATATATAAATCTCTTAAAGGTTTATTTAAGAAATAATATAAGAAATAATATCGAACCTATTGTCCCCCAGAAGTTATTATACAGATCATATAATTCTCAATAACTCGAATTCGCTTTGAACAATTTTTGTCAATTTTGAAACGATTAACGTGGACGTTAAAACAAAGCTTGAATTAAGCCTGTTTTATTCAAGTTGTTGTATTTCTTATAGAAAATGCAGTTTGAATTTATTATGCAGATGAATCTAATATTAGTCTAAG